GGTGCTTATTTCGACACAGGTAGACTCGTCCAACGAGCAGCACATCGTTTCTTAGGCCATACAGAAGACGTGGTTGGTCGTAGTCCTTAATACCATCTTTCCAACGAATGGGGTTGAGGGTCTCTTGAGTATTTGTCTCATCGCACGACGGACAGAGAAGGACTAGCTCTGGAAAATGTAACAGCGGATCCCACAACAAGACATCTGGTACCAGAAAAGCACTGGGGGAATCACCAACTGCATTCTTGACACGCGTTCCACGAGGAATTGCACGAACAGGCCCACTTGAGAAGCAGATGACTTGTCTGTTGCTATTTTCAATGACAAGCCGAATAAATTCTTTTGTTTCCTTATTTACCTTAACTAAAGAACTCCGAGGCGTAAGACAAACCAAGAAAAACAGTGAAAACCATAGCTCTAGCACTTTGGCCGTGACCGCCATGTTTTCTACCGGAACTCTTTACTAGGACTAACAGAGAGACCTCTTCCCCAGGCTGATTTCCTCCAGTATTTCTACCCGTCCACTGATCTACCGATCCATCGATCTACTGATCCATTGATCTACCGATCCATCGATCTACCGATCCATCGATCTACTGATCCATCGATCTACCGATCCATTGATCTACCGATCCATCGATCTACTGTTCCATCGATCTACCGATCCATCGATCTACTGTTCCATCGATTTACAGTTCCATCGATCTATTGATCCATTGATCTAATGATCCATTGATTTACCACTGACTGACGCAGATCGTTTCGTGACGTCAGTTGTGAGGTTTTTACATTGATCTAATGATCCATTGATTTACCACTGACTGACGCAGATCGTTTCGTGACGTCAGTTGTGAGGTTTTTACACCGAGGATAAACCCACCTTTCTTCATGAACAGGGCCATGACAAGATGAACAATTTCATATATTATTTACTTGAAATTTCATCGTTTTTGAAATTTCAAATTTTTTAAGATATTTTTCTATGAAGTAATAATTTCCTTCAAATCTTTGAATGCCAGAAAAATTAAACCAAGAAAGTAAGCATAAGTAAGTGCCAAGATTACAGAGGAGGCCATGTTATTTTATTAGATCACACTGTCTAAAGAATGGGAAATGTAAAGTCAAAATATTCCAATCTTAGCACAAATCTTGCACAACTCTCATAGTAAGTGCAGAACATGGAATTACTTCACACATCTTAAACCTAAAACTATTAAATCATGCATTAAATTATAATCAAAGCTGGAAATGGCTATTAAACAAATTTGTCCAATGTTATAAAAATTCACCCAAGCCCAAACGACAATAGCTTCAAAGCCTGGCACCTACTTCTACATGTCAGAGTATTAAATTGAAAGAATAACAAAGCGCAAATTATAGCAACAACAAAATGAATGTTTAGATTGATATTAGGAGAACAGGATCATTGGTGCTATTGATAGTTTCAACCAATATATCGGCGGATACATGACAATGCTCATCAGACTTAAATCTTAACTTCTCTCAGCTGTAACCTTCAAATGTTACTAGTGTAGCGGAGAAGACAATCTGAACGCACAATATAAATCACGGTTTAATCAAACGAAGTGCATAATCAAAATTACAAATGAAAATAAGGAGATCAGTGTGAAATCACAGACGAAGAGGGCAAAGTAGATTGAAGATAGCACAGTTATGATTGATGGTAACATTGTAGCTGAATTTGTGTGATTCGAACTAAAAGAAAATGCAGCAGAAACTAAACTGAGAAAATATCCCTGAGAAATGTAACGCTAGCCTAATTAACAATGAAGCAATTATAAAGTGAACTGAAAGCAAGAAATAAATTGATGTAAATATCAAAAAAAGGAAATATCTTAAATGTGAAATGAAGAAAAACTTACTTTGGTCTAGCTCCTAATGATTGTAGATAAATCGCCGATAGCGGATCGTACGTGAATAGCAGACAAAATTGATGGTGTCGACAGCAACTTATAGTGATGAAATATGAAATATAATATCTGGTACATGTGCTTAAATGAAACTGATTGAAATAAAAAAAACTTATTAAGTAATAATCATTAACCAATGAAAAAATAATAGACCGGAACAAACATAACAGAAAAGTACACAAGTTGCGTGTTTCGAAACTAACATCAGCGACTAGCCAACTCTGGAAGATTTCCTCTGAAGAGATACAAGACAACATTGACCCCATTTGTCATGACACTGGTACCATCCCAACAAAATCCTACAGATCCATGCAGATTCGCCTATGAGAGAAGATCGAGAAGAATGTACGAACAAGAAACTACTAGAAAACTGGTCACAACACTTGAAGACATTTTGAAATTTTCATTACCTTTTCCAATAATGTCATTCTATTTTCTTTACAAAGTGGCTTGGCTGGAAGTGAAATATAAATGAAGTTTTTGGCATGCATCAACAGGCCTTTGACCAACTATCTACCAATAATTGATGCATACTTGGGTAAAGGTAAAGCATCCATGACATATCAGTGGAATGTATTGACATTTCTTGATCAAGATATTAGATAGCTGTCAACTGATCATCGAGACTATCAACTATCGACTGACTATCGACCAACAACCAACTGATATGTTAACCACTATATCAATCATTCTATTGACCTGACACTACTTACAATACACATGATCTGGAGAACCAATTTGCACCAATTTGGTTTTAAAAAGACAATTTGAAGTTTCTTCACCAACTAGTAATATATGCATGCAAAAATTTCAGCATGTTCATCTGCTGAGAACACATTAACATACCTCAAACAGTGCAGAAAGTTGAAATTGAGTGCAGAAAGTTGAAGTAGAGTGACAACAAATTTTAATCAAATTGACCAACAAGAAAGTTGCAATAGCACATTAAAACCAAGCAGCAGATAGGTGAGGAGAATGTAACAACATTAAAAATTCAGAGTTTGGAGGAGAATGCTTGAAACAAAAACAACCCACAATGCAAAAAAGGAAAAACAACAACTGGCTAAAAGTCTGGAGGTCTTGGCATTTTAAAGATGGCACCAAAGTTAAATAGAAAAGAATGAACCAGGGGCCCTGAACAAAATTCTCGAGAGTTTAATGCAACAGTTTGTAAGAAAGACAGGGAGGATTACAAGCCTGAGCCACTGTGCAGTGTTTACTGCTATTGACTGTACATAACAGAGAAAGAGTACAAATACCTGATTACATTATTTGTGACAGAGTTTAAAAGCTGGAAGCAAGTTCTTGAAGGATAGTGCAACTACTTCAGGAACATGACAAAAGCAAGTGGCAGATCCGGTGAGTCATGACACGACCTAAAAATGACTAAAAATGAAAAAATGTTTGCATGTATATCATCGATCAACAAGAAATCCCATAATTTCTCCTGATCAATTTGGGATAAATCAGCAATAATAAATTTTCAAAGACTGAAAATTATTGTTAAGTCTTTTTCTGGTCATTGTATGTGAGTGTAGACAGAAAGTAAATGTTTGTGCAAAGTAATGTGTTAGAATATTCCAGAATGTTTTGGAATGTGCACGTGCTTAGTCACGTTCATGCTGATTTTAAAGACTGTTCAAGACTATATATACTCGTCATATCTTTACAGACTTTACAACTGGTGCTTGCATCAAGCTGTTGATGTCATTTCTCGAATAATAAAAAATAAAGTTGTGTGTTGCAGAATACAAGTACATGCAGAGATCATCTTCGTACGCGAATTGACGAAAACGAGCACCGTGCTAATCACCGTGCGGAGATGATACCAAAAGAGAGTGAAAGTCACGCCCAAAATATAGCAGATTGTGTTATTGAGTGGTCACGAGAAAATAGAGTTCACTTGAATTCTGATAAGTGCAAAGAGCTTCGGATCTCATTTTCTAAAAGGCCCGGGTTCTTTGATCCCATAGTAATTGAAGGCAAAGAGTTGGAGGTAGTTGGTAGCGTAAAGCTCCTGGGCCTTAATATAGCTAGCGATTTGACCTGGAACAGTCATATATCAGAAGTAATCAAAAAGGCCAGTAAGAGGTTGTATTTTTTAGTGCAACTAAAGAGAGCTAGGGTTCCCTTACAAGACCTAGTACTTTTCTACACATCATGTGTAAGATCTGTAACAGAGTACGCGATACCTGTCTTCTATAATGCGCTTCCGCAATATCTGAAGAATGAGCTTTTACGTTTTGAGAAACGGTCAATTTCCATTATAACTGCGGGTGATTGCGCGGTTGCTCAAGATTTAGGAATACGACCCATCTTAGAACATTACGAATTTCTATGTCAGAAGCTTTTTAAAGGTATCTTAGACAACCCTAGCCACAAGTTAAAGGCGCTTCTTCCACCCATACATAAACCCAGCTATAACTTCAAAAATAAGCGCCAATTTAATATGCCACGCCTTCGCACTTCTAGAACGATGAACACTTTTATATTTGCTATGGCAAGGAGGTTTAATGGCTAGATTTTTATCGATACGATATCCTTTATTTTTGTTACGGCACGCGTGATAATTATAGTAATAATAATGATAATGATAATGTAGATACTTTTAATTAATTTAAATTTATTTTAATTAGTTTACATTTATAGCTAATGTATTTTATTTAATTTATTATTATGTTATTATATTGTAAATTGCTGGTATAATAAGACGTGTAATTAGGTTTTTGAATTTTAAATTTTAAATTTCTTGGATTGTAAAAATGTGTAATTCAGCCCTCGGGCTGCAAATGCATTTGAGATTAAACTATCTAACAGTTGTTTTGCACTGATTGCCGAAACCGATTTGCATTTTTGATATAAACAAAGCCACTCCGTTTCGCCACAAAGCTACTCCGTTTCAGCACGAGTAAAGACAGGGGAAATGTACTTGACGAAATCAAAACATAGCTAACGCTTGCCCTACTGCGGAAGTGATTTCTTCGCTTTTGTGATCTTGCACTTAAGCATAAACTCTCTGAAAGAACAAATCACTATAATTAAGCTTTGTGTATATATGTGCATATATACCTTGAAACTTTGCAAAACCAGTCCTGTACCGCTCTACAAATCGAAGGTTCCTCAAGTACAAAGTCAATCAATCAGAATTCAGCTGAGATGAATCACCTTTAGAGCAGCAGCACTAAGCATGCTGTCTAGTTCCAGTTGCCATGCAATCAAGTCTGTCCGCCTCTGCCCAGTCCAGTTAATTTATTCAAAACTTGAGCTCATTCTAACCATGGTATGCAAGGGATGCCCGTGGATTTTTCTTTCTTTTTTCATTATGCATTTAAAACAAGCGGCTCAAATTTGGATGGAGGCAGTTTAGTTTGGGGTGGTGTACGAGGGATCTAAGAAGGGGTGAGAGGGGACGAAAGGGGGGAGCGGAGCTGAAGACCTGACGTTTCGTATTCTTCCATAAATACCGGAAACCCAGAATTTTTAAACGATTTAAGAGGCATGTGAGATATTATCTAAACCGCTGCGCAGTAAATAATTCATAAAAACAAGACAAACTAGATCAATAAGGGTCCAATAAAGATGGAGAGGAAGTGTATTATAATTTTTTATTATTGTTTCAATGTATCTGCACCCCCTCTCCCTTAGCCCTCGTCACGCTTACTCCGCGCTCCTTACTCCACCCTTCCTCGGGCGTTCTTATGTACTAAACAATTTACTACTACGCCTTTCCCGATTGTGCTCGTAAAATTCTGGAAACTTGCTCACTGGAATGCCAAAGAATAGCGAAAAAAGATACCATAATTTCAAAAGTTGTCACCGTAATGTTTTGATATTTTCATAAAAACATTAACTAAAAGCTTTATTTTACGTACGTCACAATAAATAAACAATAGCCTCTATTGGCGAGAAAAATAGAAAGGGATATTTATCCAGTGTTCCAAGATGCGAACAGTTTTCAGAGAGAAGCTCGCTAGCATTACAAGGGATATTTGAAGTTGAATCACACGACGCAGCACTTGCGTTGTTTTTGTTTTTGTCAGAAGTGAAATCAAAGATGGCGAATGCTTGGACACAATTCCAACCATGGCAAAATCAACCCTTACCGCCAGGCTGGGAGGCTAAATATGATGGCAACATCGGATAATAGTGAGTATTTTCGAGTCTCTGCTTAAGTTGACTCGTAGTGTAAAGCTTCGGCAAAAAACTTGCGTTTTGATCTTGATGAGTCGCAAAAATCTGAGTTCGCTGTCGCTGCGGGGCTTTTTTGAACAGATAGCCAAGCTGAATATTTCTTTCTTGCGGGAAATATATTACTTTAGAGCTTGCCAGAATATGCATCATCTACGCTGATTAAAAGAAAATCAGTTTCATTGTATCCGTATAGTTAACAGATGCAGGTTCATCGTGATTTTGAAAAGTTTTGCCCAATTTACTCTCGGCTAATTTCGATGTAAAAGTTGGCCTGCTATCGGCAAGATGTCAGAAAAACCCCATACTTCATTATGCATAGAGTTATAAATAAAAAAAAATGAGACAATTATGAAAATAAAAGTTAACATTCTGGACTAATGTCTTCTTCTAGAATAGTGCAGGGTTATAATTTGAAATAGTATTTGATTAATGGCCACACAGTTAAACTTAAGTAGGAAATTACCATAGCCAATCAGATCAAGGACAAAATAACAAGCAGCTTGTGAGAGCTCACTGTACTGAATGATGTTGATTGAAGTGTAGTGCAATTGGTCTGGAATCATTTTCAAGATTTCAAAATTATTTGCAAGATTTCAAAATCATCAGCAAGTTTTCACAAATACCACCTAGTTACATCCACTTGGAAATCACACAATGAAGTTAACACCAAAATACAGCCTTGTGTTGAGGACTCTGGTCAGTAGCAATATTTTACAGATCTAGTGGCACACGCAATCCACAATTCCTCCAATCACTCTGATGAAAGACTAATGCTTGAAATGTCAGCTTTTAAATTCTTTACAGTGGTCAATAATTTACATTATCAATTTGGTTGATAATACTAAATTACCCAATACCTTATTCTGTCTAGAAATGTTACAAAAGGCTGGACAAATCAGTGTTTTGAAACCTAAAACAATTGGGTTACAAATCAAGGGCCACATTTTGCTCAGAAGAAGGTCAGAGTTTAAATAATAAAGCAGCACAACCCCAACCATGACTCATCTTAAGTGTTCCACCACCTAGGGTATGAATACTATTGCTTTACATCGCCTAGAACCACTTATACCATGGTGATAACCGATAGGACACAAACAGCGTGTAATTAGTGACACAACATTTTCTACAATCAGTTGAATCAGGCTGAGATTGATCGTTGGAAATAACAACAAATGTTACAGATTAATAACCACAAGAGTGATAATAAGAACTGATGGCACACTTTCTCAAATCCAATAGTTAATATGATCTACTTGTTACCAAAGGAAACTGGAGGGCTTCATTTCCTCTTTGGATCAATATCTGTATCTGGGCAACTGCCCACTTACCCCTCCCCTAACCCAACATTAACCTTAACTTGTTGTTGTTGAGTTAGGGGAGGGGTAGGTGGGCAGTTGCCCAGATACAGATATTGATCCTCCTCTTTTACCTCAAAGAGTCCCCCAGAGATCTATTTTAGGACCCCTGCTCTTCTTCTACATAAATGAAATGCGTGGTGTAATTTCAGAGGATACATCATTGCCACTCTTCGCCGAAGATTCTAAATGTTTTCACCTAGTTCTCCGTCAAGATGATGGCATTAAATAACAGGAAGACTTAAATAAGTTATTTGAGTGGTCACGCATTTGGGGAATGAAGTTCAATGTCAAAAAGCAAAGGTTCTGAGGGTAGCATGCTTTGTATGTATCTACAAGAGAGAGTATTTCTTGGTGAAACTAAATTTATTTAGAACATGATCCTATTGAACAAGATGTAGGTATTTTGATCAGCCACTATTTAAGCTGGAATCACCACATTGATGTTATCTCTTCCAAAGCCCAAAGAATACTTAATTTGCTCTACAGGACATGTAAATATACAACTGACATTAGAATGAAAAAGTTACTATACATTACTTGGCATGGGTGCAGTCACCCTACACCAAAAGAAACATTACCAACTTAGGACAAATTCAACGCAGGGCCACAAGATTCATTCTCGGCAAGGAGTTTACTGAATACAAGTGCCCTAGTAAATTAAATGTATTACCTTAACAATATTTTAGGTTAATTCTTGATTTAGTATTCTTTTTTAAAAGTTTTAAGAATATACATGATTTTGACTATGTACTGTTTCACTCTTGTAACAAGCCTTTGAGAAATATTAATAAGTATTTAACACTTGATTTCCCTTTTAGTCATACAGAAACTTTTAAGAATTCTGTTTTTACACGGGTTTGTCAGGCATGGAACAAATTACCTCTCAGCATTAGGGAATCTAACACCTTACCAGTCTTATGCAAGAAATTGTTTAATTATTTTTATGATAAGTTCAGAGCCAATTTTTTATGGCAAGAAATTGTTAAATTACTTTATCATAAGTTTGGTGCCTTTTTTTTGTAATTATCCCATTTCTATCAAGACTTTAGAGTATTTTTTTCTCTTTTGTAATAAGTTTGTAACAGTAACTTTTTAACTATAGGTAAATAATCAAGGTGGCTTATTTAAAGGAATCTTGTATTTTGTTTTAAGCTGCCCTCAAATTGATCTAACTGACTTGCTCAATGTGACTAATTTGGAATTTGCATCAAAGTTGGAAGATTAGCAGTATAGAGGTGGAAACATCAATATCAATGCAATTAATAGCGTGACTTTTACATCTTGAGACAAATGATTAAATGTTTATTTATCTAAGATTATTTCATTTTGTTTTTTTCCAGATTCAAGCTCAAATATGTATTTATATGAGTTGCTTTGTGGAAGTGAAATTTGTGTAGAGCGGCTAAAACTACCAGAAAAGATAGGTGATAAATTGTTATCAGTAAAAAGTCTTCTTAAATGCCCAGTTTGAATTTAGCCATTGATTCTCTCTCTTCTGTCTTTTTATCAGACCGTAAATTTTACTTTACATGTACACATCTATCCAAATTGTCTTATATGAAGAACATTAGTTTTTCTTTTTTCATTCAGAGTCCAGAGCTTATAGCACATGTTAAGAAATTAAAAGCAAAACAAGAAAAAGTGGAGTATGAAAGAATGGTTTCAAATATTGATCAAAAGGTAGTGCATGATCCTAAAACTTTCTTGCTTGAGGGAAAAGATCTCTCCAGAAACATAATATTATTGTCTTTTCAACCATGAAAGAGTCTATACCATATTTCCTCAAACAAGCACCTAAGTGCTTATTCAAAATTTTGAATAAAAGGAAGGGCACTTACTGGAAAGAGGGTACTTAATCGAGGTGTAGGGGGCTTATTACTCTTTTGAGCTGACTCTGCTGTAGATGAAGCTTAAAAAAATTGTTAAATTAAGTGACAGTAGAAACAGGTTTTACTTCTATCCAAACTGTCTAAGAAAGTAAGGGAGGTGGGGGGGGGGGGTACTTATTCAAGAGGGGTACTGTTTTGACATCATGGTGAAGGGTGTGGCTACCTATTTGGGGTATCAGTTCATGGGCACTTATTCATGGAAGTACAGTAGATGAAATATGGTAGTGGTCAGGCTTTGAGGTCAAAAGGGTAACTTTGCTGTTGGCAAATTACCTTCAATATACTGAAAATTTGATTACAGATGCTGTAACCTTGAATTTCCCTTAGAAACCTGGTTACTCAGCTGATAACACACATTTTGAAACAACAAATGATAATCTCACTCCATTGCTTCTCAGATATGGGTAACCCACACAATAAGAGTCAATGATGATTTTTTTTTGGGTGACAACCAGAGTAGATACTATTGTGAAACAAATGTTTTAGTTCCTTCCCATTTGAAGCATGTCAGGCTCAGATGATTGTGAATTAATTGTTGTTGTCAAAATAGTGGCCACCCCTGTCAAATCATGTTTTAAGCACAATTTTTGAATGTTTATTGTGTTACAAGTTGGAGTCTCAAGCTGCATTAAAGGGTAAATTATTTAATATGTACAAAATTTTCCAGAGCAGTGATTAACTTAAGGTTAGTTTGTTTCTGGAGCATACTTTCCCTTTTTGTGTCTTAGAGGCCTTTACAATTCAATGTACAGTTAAAGTATCATGAAAGGGAAGAAAGTCCCTTTTTTCCAATTTCCTGAAAATTTCATATCTACTTTAGGAAATAAAGTTCTAGTAGTTTCTTAAAATTTCATTTT